ATATTTTATCCTCCTGTCATGAATTTCTAGTTTTCTGGAATTGTGTCTGAAAAGATACTTCACATTAGTTACATGTCTGTGGATTTGTCGAGGTTTTCTTTGTGTCCTAACATATAAACAATTCTGGTGAATGTACCATGTGCACTTGAAAAGAAAGTAAATTGGACTTTATTTGGCCATGGTAACCTGAACACATTTACAAGATCAAGTTGGCTAATTGTATAGTTTAGATCTTTTGCATCTTTGTTAAGTTTCTTTTGAGTTGACCTATCCTTTGGTGGGAGAGAGTAAAGTCTTAAAATCTCCTACCACTATTGTGGTGTTTTCTATTTCTTTCTTCAATTTTTCTAACTTTGTTAATTTTGGGTATTTTCGGGGGAATCAGTACTTGAGAGATGGTATGCTGAATAAGTGAATGTGTTGAGACGTGTCTACCACAGCATAACAGACATCATGAGTCTGACACAGGGTAGGACAAGGCTCAGATTTGTTGTTCAGGGTCTTTCTTTATGAGTTGTAGTTGGTTGATGGGACCTAACAACAAATATATTTAGTATGGGATTTCATACTAAGATTTTGAGATAGAGTTTTTCAATCATCTTCAAATAGCACCTCAAATTCACATGCAATATCAGTTCCCAGAGCATGGTTAAGAAGGAATCCTAATAGCATAAGGGATCACTACCAGGCTACTAACAGAAAAAGAAGTTGACCATTCAAAACCAGAAGCAGCTCAATGGAGAAAAAAGCCTCGGCATCTGCTGCTATAAAATCCTGTAGGAAATCCTACGAGGTCATTCTACTCTATTATGTCGCACCACTGTGGGTCAAAAGCAACTTGATGGCACACAACAAAGTGATTATGAGCACTCTTTCCTACAAATAATCCCACCCTTACCCCTCCAAAAAATAAATTCTAATTTTCGCTAATGGTCAAAGTATGCAGTAGTAGAAAGGGCAGTGACTTGAATGTCACCACTAGCATCTGACACCTACCAAAGTCATGCTGCCAAGCAGAAACTAACCTAGCTGACCTTTCACTAGCTTTTTGGAGCTATAAGTTACAGAGGAGGAGATTTCCCATCTTTCTTTCTTGGAGCCACTGCTAGATTTGAATCACAAGAAAGACACAGCCTTTAATTTAGCAACGCAACTCCTGATAAACTAAAGATCCTCAATACTTTCATCTACAAGGAACTAGTTCAGGGAATCAGTGGGGCAAATCAAGAGCATATAAGGTCTTCTAGAAAGTCTTTCCCATGATCCTCCTCTTTTCCACAGTAAATCAACTCCAACACCAGGAGAAACAGTGCAAACAGTTCTAAGAAACCAGAGAGAGAATGTGAAAGCCTGCTCAAAGTGACGGTGTCTCATTGCCTCCAGCACTGTTTATGTAGACGCTTAAGACTCCTTCCATCTATGATCACCTCACTTTTGTTGCCTCACTCATACTCAGGATAATAGGAGATAGGATCACAGAAGTAACAAGGAGTCAGGGCTTTGGTCAAGAACTTGACTTTGAGTCAGATGAGAGCAATTACAGATTTTGAGAAAAGAGTGCTTTATGCCTTATGTCCTATCATTATTCACTCTTCTCAAACACATTCTACATTCAGCCTACAAGTTTCATTAACTTTGAGGTACCTCCCCAAGCATTCTTGTCCCCAACAATCATATTCTGCCTTCAGTGTCAAATTCTATTATTCCACCTACATAAAGTCCTTACTTACTCCAGGAAGAAGTGGCCTTTCCTTTTTCTTCAATGCTGTGGATATTGAAAGCATTTTATTAAGAACAAAATAATTATTTTATAGATTGTGAATCCCTTGAGGCATGGATTCCATTCGTGCAGAAGCTTAGTGCTGTTACTTCAGCTGCAAAGGCAATCAGGTGCTTCCACAAGCCCCCTAGCTTGGTTTCCAAGCTCTCAAAACCATATGGAAAACAACCAACTTCCAACAGCGATGTCACCAACAAGCTCAACAATTCTAGTCTATTCCTATTCATAAAAACACAGTGAGTGGGAATATGAATGTTTTCAAAAGTTAAAACCAAATTTCTCTTTAAGTCAGCATTTTCTAACTTAACTGCTTTGTACATAGCCACCTGTTCTTACCTTTTAGATAGAATTCTCTCTCTCCTCCATAACACTGCAATTATCCGTTTTGACGGCCATGTTATCTTGTCCTGACATCTCAATTACCTTAATTCCTTTCATTTCACAACTTATCTGTTCTATTTTATGATTTATTTCCAATTTACTGAAGAGTGGATTCTTTGGAAGTTTATCTTTTTTACTCTCCATGTCCTCTCACTCACCTCTTGGTCCTTGATCAAAATGACAAGATGGTGGATTCTTTGTCTACTAACCTTCCATTGAAAATGGAATATTTTTTAAAAAATAAAAGAAAAAGATGCAAAAGGTAAATTTCTGTCTCTTTTGAAATAGGATTTTGTGCCTCTGTATCAAGACTTTGAGAATTTTTACAAACGAAACCTTTACATTCGGGTCAGAGACAACTGGAACCGGCCCATCTGTAGTGCCCCAGGGCCTCTATTCGACATCATGGAGAGAGTATCAGATGACTACAACTGGACATTTAGGTAAGAAAGCCACCTGGAGGGCCCCAGGTGGAAGAGAATGCTTCACAAAGAAATGCTACCATGGGTACCAAATTCCAGTTTAAAAGAAAGCAAGACAAGAAACTGGCTGACCTTCCACCATTCAGCCTTTACAGACCCTTAAAATGCTGTTGGAAGCAAATCATGGTAATTAAGTTGCCAAAGATGTTTGTTTATATCGCAATCAAAGCATGCCAGCAGACAGTAGGCAGGACCTGATAGAATCAGCGAGGTTTTGTTGGCTTATTGTTCCCTCTTTTTTCTCTTTGAAAAGAAAGAGATAATTGAGGTTCTTAATTATTTGGAAAGTTTTATGGAGTTAGAAGCAAACTGCAAATGCTCAAGCTAAAAGCAAGCGCTCAAGGTAAATCAGAGTTTACGAGGCCTTTCTCCTGTGTTCTACCATCTTCAGCATGAAACATTTCTCTCTAATGCCATATTGTGGTGACCACAAGTACAAGTTTTTAAGACAAAAGGAAAGGAGAAGGAGAGAAAATCAGGCAATAAATGGTTTAGGTCAGAGTCAGGATGTCTTTGTGAGAGTCTTTACAGGCTCCAGGTTGTGTAGATAGTTAACTAACCAAAAAGTTGCTTGTTCAGACCCATCCAGAGACACTTGGGAGGAAAAAAAATGCCTGGATATCAGCTTCTAAAATATTAATCTTAGAGTTCCATGGAGCACAGTTGTGCTCTGTGACACATGGGGATTGGTATTAAGTGGGAAGTCTCTTTCTGCTCACTGGGTCTTATCTCTGTAGGTTTACAGGAAGAGTCATCAAAGATGTCATCAACATGGGCTCCTATAACTTCCTTGGCCTTGCAGCCAAGTATGATGATTCCATGAGGACAGTAAAGGATGTTTTAGAGACGTATGGCACCGGTGTATCCAGCACCAGGCAGGAGATGGGTAAGTACATGCACTATTTCCATACCTTAGACAACTGGTTCTTTACTTTCTTGTGCTTATTGTCAAATCTAGATCATATGTTACCTGTGTATGCTAGAAAGCTGTCTGTCATAAGGTACAAAATAGAAAAGATATGTAAAAGGTTTTGGAAAATTTCAAACACTATTCTGTTTTAAGATGGTTTACTAATTACATTCTTTAAAAATCCAGAATAAATAATTATGATAGAGGAGGTCTGGTGGCCTGTTGTTGTTGTTGTTAAGTGCCGTCGAGTCGCAGGCGATTCATAGCGACCCTATGAAGGAGAGTCCTTGACGCTTGGGTACCTTTCATCCTCTCTCCAAGTTCATAGGGTTTCCGGAGGCAAGCTATTATGGAAGTGGACACCACTCCTCCTTCCACGCTTGTTCAATTGGGGAGACTGATGGCCTAGTATTAAGAAATTGCACAGTAATCCCTAAGGCATGCAGTTTGAACCTACCAGTTTCACTACAGGAGAAGGATAGACAATCTCTTCCTATGCAATTCACTGTCTCTGAAAACCTACTGGATGGGCAGCTATTGGTCAGTTCTGACTCAATGGCACACAACAGTAATAACAACAAAAACAATTTAAAATAGCATCCATGTATCTCCTTTACCAAGTTGTATTCTGTCCCTTTATTTCCAAATGGCCTAGTCATTGCACTTATATATTGTCTTGTGTCTCCAGAAAACTATAACTCTCATGACTAACAAGTCACTACCTAGAACAATTACCTAGAACAATGCCTGGCACATAGTACTGAAATGAAACCAGACCTGTTGATGTCAAGTTGATTCCAACCCAAGACATAATAAAATGACCTTGTAGGATTTCTAAGACTGTAAATCTTTATGGAAGCAGACCGACACATCTATTTTCTCATGGAGCAACTGGTGGGTTTAAACTATGGACTTTTTGTTGGTAGTCAATTATTGAAGTCATTTTACCCCAAGGGCTCTTTTGGTATATAGTCGCCAAAACAAAATTAAAGAAAAACCATGACCATTGAGTTAAATCTAAGCCAAAGGCAAAGTAAATCTCCCTCCATCGTGCTTCC